AAGTTTTCTGCAGGTAATACATGTTCTTGTAAGGCGTTTGGTAGTGCTACGTACACCAATTATCCAAAATCGTCTCCTGATTTCGTGGATTAAGCTCTTGTAGCCACAGTGTCTCCTCTTTGTGTGAAGRTGCAAGATAAGGAGCTCTACTAGCCGGTTGYCTTTGGGYAGAATRACTGGATTTCGTARCTCATCTGGGAGTGACTGTATGTTCTCTAATCGCCCSTGGGCCCTCATGACTCCGTCTTGACCCCACTGTGCTGACAGGCTTTTGTCGAGCTTGCTTACATCTATGTTTTGTTGAGTGAACTTGAAGAGTTGGGTCTCTGCTTGTTTTAACTCTTCAACAGTAAGTGATCCTTTATTGTTAGTCTTCTTGGAAGCTTTTCTTATGAAGCGTAGTACGTAGGCTAAGGTTCTCCTTATCTTTTGGAACGTGGAACATGATTTCAACAGTTGTGAAAGGATKGGGTTGTCTCTTCCCTCCTCTACTGGGTATGCCGAGTGGTCTGCTGAGTTGATTTCGGTTAGCTTTGTGTTGGGGGTTTTCATCTCTCTTCTTGCTTCAGCGTCTAAAGAAGGTTTGTTGCTCCGTGCCTCCTCTTCGAACTTAGGCCATTCCCTTTCTGGTTGTTGTAGAAACGTAGGGCCGTTAAGCCAGGATTTCAAGTGATCTGGCTTGATGCCTCTAGTAAGGGCGTCAGCAGGGTTATCTTTTGATCTGATATACTTAAAATCGTTAGTGTCGACTGTTTCTTGGATCTCGGCAACTCTGCTTGAGACAAAAGGCTTGAACTCCTTTGGGGGAGTCTTTACCCAAGAGAGTACAGTGGATGAATCATCCCAGAAGGTCCTTCTGCAGTTGATTATCTTGGCGAAATCAAGTGCTTTTGTACTGCTGTCGTACATTCTGGTAAGGGCTAGGCACCCAAGCAGTTCGAGTCTTGGGATAGACTTCTTTTTTAATGGCGCGACGAAGGGTTTGATGAGTATTGGGACACATTTATAGGATCTGTCCTCCAGGCTCCATCTGAGGAATATGACAGCACCATAGGCTAACTCCCCTCCGTCCGAGAATCCATGGACTTCCGGTGGACCAACTGAGTTGCTGGGCTTGAGTTGTCGCTCGAATTCGAAGGTCAGTAAGTGGTTCATGACCTCTAAGTTCTCTTTCCACTTCTGATGAGTACTATCTGGAAGAATGTCGTCCCAGTTGAAGCCTGAGCTCCATAAGTCTTGAAGGTCGATTCGGAACTTCACTGTAACCGGTGACACGAGGCCAATAGGGTCCCAGAGTTGAGCGAGGAGAGCTAGGCAATTGCGTTTTGTCAAGCTTTGATTAAATGATGTGATTGCAGCCTTCTTGAGGGAGAAGGTGTCTGCCTCCTTGTTCCATCGGTGTCCAAGCAGATCTGTGTACTGCTCTCCGTCAGTTTGATCGATGACTTCTTTATTGGAGTGCCAGACCTTTATCTGGAATTGGCCTTTGCTCAGAATTGTGTCGATGTCT